AGTAACACGTTTCTCAAAATGTATACGAGAAAACCAGGGTTTGACAGGGATGTCGGCCTGTATATCACGAAAATATCTACCCGCAGCTTTACTGCTTGTTTCCCACACAGTTTGCCAAGATTCTTTAAGATAAATAGCAGGTAGTGTAGCCAAGTCATGAGCAAAGTTTCTATATAAATCTACATCGCCGTTATTTACTGCAGAAAGGTGCAGATGCTAAAGAGCTAAGATATCGGCTCTCTCGTTACCTCTAATGTCACTGTGACTTGGTATCCACACAAATAATACAGAAAGACCCTTTGAATGGCACTTGTAAAGGGCATCACGAATTTAACAAATACATAGTTGGGAAAATGTTACCTAATTTAAAAGGGAATTTACATAATGACTGCAGAGCACTTTTACAATCAGAAAATATTATTGTTTTACGTAATTTTGTTAAGAGAATGTATTAAATTGCCTTAAGAAGACCTACTTATTCACCAGTGAAAACGGATGTTTCAGGAGGAAGCTTTGTTTTTGGAATAATATCGTATTGAGAATGAAGAACACCCACTCCTACGGCCGAGTTATCTAGTTTAGAGGCATCAGTGAAAATATGATTGTAGGAATGCCAATTAACATCTAAAGTTAAAGGAAGCGTTAGCAAAACGTCTGTTAACTTCACTAAAATCAAAACAAACCTCAGGCGTGTTATGTATCCAGATTTGCATAACACACATACCTAAAACGTCAGTTCAATGCACTTGCATTCGCGCACCCCGGAACGCGCGCCCCGTGCATTGCAACGTGACCGATGCAAAACTCGTCATTTTAAGTATAATTATGAGACACTTTTCGGCCCGACGCCAACGTTCCTAACATCAGACGTAGACTAAATTCCTTTAGTTAAGATCTTTTTTCGTATAAGTACTTTTAGACCTAACGTACCTAACTTCGGACGTTCTTAAAATTATTTAGTTTAAGAAATACCTTTGTGGAAATTTAATATAGTTATTCATCATATTTTCTCGTCTTTACTTCATCTCCACTGCGGCCACCCTATATAATTGGCGGCAAAATAAGGCATTCATAATTACTACCGTACAGTGTATCAGTATATCAAAACTGTGAGTTGGAGCGTGTAATGTAAGATACTTTCTATAACTATTTATAAGGCAAGGAGTATTTTGGTGATACCAATAACCCGGGGTATTTATTAGATTGTTTAATACCTCAAGTTTTTGGAGGAAAGGGTGACGATTAAATTGGATAAATAATTTATCAGCTAGGGCGAATTGTTTAATTACATTGACCAAGATGCGCAGGAGTTCTATGGCAATCTACAGTCCGGCACCAACGTATCCGTCGTAGATCCTGATCTTCAAAATCGAGAGAACTGCAATATTGAGGATTCATTTTCTTTTTATTGCAATAAATTACAGTTCAGTTTATTAATTGAAAATTGTCTTAATACAAAATAAATGAGTCTTTTTCTTTTCACTTTTGTCATTTTTTTCCCTTAAGCAACTTAAAATATGAAATACCGTAGTGGTTCTTAAAAACTCATACACGAATTGTTCACAAAACTGTTTATTTACACAACATCACACTAAAATTTGTAATTGATTTCTTTAGATAAACTCTACTTTAACCATTTTACTCATTTCCATTTTTTGTGTAAAGTGATATAAATAATTTATGTAAGCCAATTTCTCTGTCATTTTTGCAAAATACAGGTTCATTTTACAATCAACTTATTACTCACCCTTTATTCTCTCTGAAAATTAAAAAAAAAATACTTTTTTTGTGAATGAATGAGAAAAAAGCTGATTCAAAACGAGTTTCGCTCACGTAAAATAGCATTTTTTGAGTTTAGCCCATTTACACTGGAGGTACAGATGTTATTATTAAAATAAACATTTATTGCAGGATGAACTTTACGCCTTAAGAAAAACACAATGGAGCTTTTGCTAACAGATAACTCTAGACCATTCGAATCTAACCAGTACATTAACAATGTCAATTTATTTGATGGTACATTCACAGCTTGGTCACTTAGATTAGATTCAACATATAAAAGAACATGGTCAGCATATTGCAAAATAGAAACTCCATTACCTTTAGGCATTTATGCCTGTCTAAATCATGAGTGTATATGTTGTACAGTATAGGACTCAAAATAGATCCTTGCGGAAGACCTTTATTTATTGTCCTCTGTAAAGAATATTCATCATTTATAACATTAATAGTTCTATAGTTTAATAAATTTATGATGAAGTTATATAATAATCTAATTTTGATTTTAAAATTGGAAAAAGAACATTATCATATGCCGAACTGATGTCTAAAAACGCAGCTTTAATAGAATTACCGATCGAAAAAGCTAATCTTATATCTGTTGTAAATATAGAGAGACAGTCCATGGTGCTCCTACCTTTTCGAAATTCGTATTGATTATTGGGCAACAAATTGTTACGTTCAACATACCAATCCAACCGAGTTTTCACTGAACTTTCAGTAGTTTTTATTAAAACAGAAGATAAGGCAATGTGACGGTAAGATGAGCTTTCTGTAGGATTTTTATTTGGTTTTAAAACTGGTAACACTGTATGGCTTTTCCAAGATGGCGAATTTTCATCTGTCAACATGGATGTGTTAATCAGCTGTAAATCATAATAAAGGGCAGAATCATCAAAATTAGATAAAAGGGAATAAGTAATTCCATCACTACCAGGAGCAGAGTCTACAGTATTAGATAAAACGCCCCTCAATTCTTTTAACGAAAATGGCAAACTTAACCCCGATTCATCATTTGAAACTAGAATTTTATCAAAAACTATTTGTTGTTGGACTATTGGAGGGGCTAACTTGTCAATGAACTGTTCAGCAATATTAAGAGGTAAGTTTCTAAAAGGGGAACCTTTAAAGGCAGATCTAAATCGAAGTATCATGTTCCATACAACAGAAGAGTTGGTACCACTCTCTACTTATAACTTCTTCTTTTTGAGAGTCTTTTTTGTTTCAGACATTATTAACTTGAGCGACTCAAAGTTTTCGACAGTCATACTATGTCGATATCGTTCTTCAGCCTCTTTACGCCCTTTAACAGCAGATGAACATTCTTCATCGCACCAGACAGGAGAGGAGATAAGGTTTGAGTAACTGTTTTTAATAGAGAAAATTACATCAGCACACTGAATAATTAGTAAAGCTAAGCATATATAATTAGTAAGCATTTGAATTTTTCTATGACATTATTGCAGTTTATATCAGGAAGGGTAGACATCTTTGACTTAATAAGCTTTTTAAATTGATCCCATTTATCATCACCTTGTAGGTTGTATTTATAGTTAGACTTGTTTTTCAAGTTCTTTTTACTCTGAAACGGAAAAGTAATGACTATGGAGTAGTGATCACTACCAAAGGTAGATGTCAAGTTCTGCTATGTTAAGGAAAGTGATAGACTAGGAGAACATATTGTAAGGTCAATAGCACTAACAGAGTTGTTGGGGTCAGTAATGCGAGTAGGAGTTCCAGTGCTCAATAAGCAAAGATTGTTGGTGTCTAATGTGTCAAGTACTTGATCTCCATAGCAATTTGATAAGGAGCTTCCCCATACTTAATGTTGACCATTAAAATCTCCCATGACTAAACATGGTTTGGGAAGAATAGAAAACAGATTATTAATTTGATTTAGTATTAAGGTAGTTGGATGAGGCACATAAATAGAAACAAAACAAATATTATTTACAGAAGCAGCAATGACTGAATAGTCATCACCATAAGAAGGAAGATTAATTAAAGAAAAGGGATAACAATTGCTAATGAGCAAGGCAACACCACCATGCCCATCAGTTCTTTGCGAAAACAAGAATAGCCTGGGATCTTAAACCTGAACTCAGGTCTAAGCCAGGTCTCAAATAGAGAAATAATAAAAGGATTAAATTTATTTACAATATATATTAAGTCAGATTTTTTATTTACTATGCTTCGGCAATTCCACTGTATTACTGCTGCGTTGTAGTATAGTGTAGTAAGTATGCAATCATTTCGAAAATTTTACATTTTTCTATTAATATATTTATTCATGATTGATTCATAACGAGCTAGAATAGTTCATTGAGGGTCGTATTCCAGTTCTCTACTCAATACTAGAGTCAGGACATGAGTATTGCAGTAAGCACTGAAAATCATACTCAAGTCCTTGCCATTAGGGTCGTATTTCCAGTGCTTGAAATCATACTCAAGTCTGCTCAAATCCTGAGTAGAGTTCTGGAATACACAATTTTTAAAAACATTTTTTTTTTCTCTTGACTCTTCGCGATAAGCGTTTTAGCCACTTTCAAAGTGTTTTGACTAATTTGTTTTTAAAACGGGGAAACTTTTATAACATCACGGAATGTAATTTGGAAATGGGATTCGAAAGTTGGAGAAAAAGGAATCAGGCGAGGAATTACGAGATGTAAATAAACATGGTATAAATATTATATTATTATTACATGACTTTTTTATGAAACGGGCGCCGGGCGGTGAAATAGAACACAAAAATTACGTTATATTTTACGCAGTTTCAGTTTTCGCAGTGAGCGATTTATAACGGATCTTAAAACCACTACGTGTAACGTAACGCCCAACCTTGGCAGATGTCGTATTTTGTTAATAGACTGAAATTCGTCTAAAAGTAGGTGCGCGGGTGGCAGGGAAGAAAATACACAGCGCTGATTGGCCGTGACACATGTCCAGTCAGTTATCTTGAAGTTCACTCAGGTTAGTTCTAAGCATTAAAGTCATTTTCGTGGTTATTTTATTTTTGCGTTACTTATTTTTAGCAGGGAATAAAAGATAAATGTTTTTGATAATATAACTGGAAAATTAATGCACGTATGTCAGTGTAAACTAGTTTAAGTTTTCGTATTGTTCAATTAGTATAAGGTAACTTGTTTCATTTTTTAAAGTAAGAAATTGTATGAAGAATCTGAAGAATGTTGTTTTGTTGGAGTTTCTGACCTGTCGTGATCTAATCTGCTCGCTATTTAACATTTTAACCTCATATGCGCTTATTCGCTTAGGTGAGTAATAAATAATTCTTTTCTGTTATCATCAGTGGATATATTGTTACTAAAGTTCAGATTTTTCTGGGCAATTTTCATATCAAAATACGGCTTCTTAAGATATATTGTTTCCTTCATAAAACCCGGGGTTTCCCTGCAGGGCGTGACATGTTACGATTTTTATAATTTTAAACACATCTTCGAATAAATTTGTCCCTTTATTACAAAAAAGGTGCTGTGGCGTTTTACGGTGTTAGTGTTTGAGTTAATAAATCTGAGTTGTCGTCTCGGTAGCTTGTCTGTTGACAATTAACTGCTTCAATGTGTAATTTTTTTCGTTTGCGACGTTAATTCGGCGAGATGGTTGGTGGCCAGGTCTCATTCAGGATGTGATAATGCCCAGAATAACAATAAAATACTGTGAAGAACACACACACAAAGAAAATGTCAAATTTGATCTGTAAATTCAATTTTATTAGAGCATTAGCACAATTGAAGAACTAAAGAGTGGGGTGATGATGAATCAGAAGTGAAATGACGAGATCTCAGTGATCAAAACATTTGAAAATGGGGAATTTAATTTAAACTTTGTTTAAACATTTAATTAAAATGATCAATGACTCATTGAAGGTAAATTTAGACTCGTACATTTAGTTTGACATAGATTTTGGAACATCTTAAAACTAGAAGGTTTGATGATGATCAGGAATGTAGAGATGACTGTGGACTACTGAAAATGTCAAATTTAAACTCAAATGATGGTATGATTTGGTTAGACTGGTATGATGACCTCAGTTAAATCACAATTTATTTATTCCTGATGCCTGAAGTCTGTTTAAGGGTCGTATTCCAGAACTCTACTCAATGCTCAAGTTAGGATTTGAGTATGGTTTAAAGCCCTTGATATCATACTCAAGTCCCTGCCATTAGGGTCGTATTTCCAGTGCTTGTGTTGCCATTGCAATCCTGACTTGAGCATTGAATAGAGTTCTAGAATACGACCCTTAAAGATAATTAAAACCATATGCAAAATAGGTGCCCAGACGTGATTTGCGGATACTGACTTGTTAAACCACACTATAGTAATATCATTACGTATGAAACTTATTTTGATTTTTATTTGATTTTTTTAAGACTGATTTTAGCACTGAGCAGAGATGGCCGTGTTGCCCATAGTTTAAGTTTGATATTTCAAATAATAATAAAACTGTAACTGTGCCAACACTGTCTCAGCACTTTTCGGACTTTGTGTTTTGTGATGTTACGTGCGACCTTGTGCTTTTTTCAAAGTATGAAGAATACATAGCCCATTCGGCAGAAGTACGATGACGAGTCGTAGGGGCTATCGACGAACGATGCAGTTTGATGAACTGACTGATTACATTGTAAGAAATTTGGACTCGAAGAATAAATGTTTAACTATCTTCCTTGACCCCGCAAAAGCCTTTGACATTGTAAACATACCAATATTTTTAAATAAGTTAGAATACTTGGAATTAGAGGAAAGCAGCTCAAACTTTTACAGGACTTTCTTTCTGACAGAAAACAGCGCGTGATGATTGACAAAATAATGAGTGACGAATTACCGATCGAATATGGTGTTCCCCAAGGAAGCATATTAGGATCAATCCTATTCCTGGTCTACATAAACCAACTATGCGCTCTTCCCCTTCTCTGGTTGCAAGATCATATCTTACGCCGATGATACAGTCTTATTATTCAACGCTTCAAGTTGGAATGAAACATTTTCACAAGCTCAATTTGGTTTTAACTCAGTTACCGAGTGACTCAGAACGAATGCCCTTACACTGAATACTAGCAAAACTAAATATATGACTTTCTCATACAATATCTCCTCACAACCTCCTGAGAATGCTTTTTCAGTAGTAGCTCACCATTGTACAAGCCTTCGAACTCATCAAAACCTCTGTGCTTGTCCAACACTGGACAGCAAACGACATTAAATATTTAGGAGTCATAATTGACAATCATCTTAATTTCAAAAACCATATTGTACTTATTATATATATATATATATATTATTAATGGTTACCTATAGGTAATTATTATTTAATTATTACATATAGAAATATATTATTTTATTATTAAAATAGAAAATCTATTTTTAAGCTGTAATATAAAGAAATTTGCCCATAAAGATGCCTAAAATACAGGTACACATTAACTTAGTTTAGGCATCGCAATGACACATTAGATGCTAATATTAAAATGTATAACTTTACTATGAAGAATGTATAATTAAGATTCCCTTATTCATTCTTATTTGAATACTATAATACCTTAATTTACATTTGTTTTACTTACATTGTATTAGATTAAGTTATATTGAAATAAATTTATCTTATGTTATTTTAGATATTACACAAACTTGCTGTTAATGATAACACTTAAATGTTTCCTCCAATTTTAAACTTTACGTAATAATTACATACAAAAACTCATTCCATATTAGCAAACCACTGTGTTGCAGGTTTATAATAATATATTATATCCGATTATACGAATACTATATGTTATCAAAAGATTGACTACACCGTATTTGTTTTCTGTCAACACACCGGTTGCAATGAGAAGGTAATAAAAATATACTACATATTTTCTAGGCCAGTGATAATGTTCGATAACTACGGCAATAACCAGGCGCAGACGCCGCCCAGCCAGCCGCCGCCGCAAAGAGCACTTCGCTTTGACAAAGGCTATGTCACCACTATTCCGGGGATCTTGAAATTGGTACAATTGGTAAGAACCTTGTTTTGTATCATCCATTGCACATAACTACCTATATAATAATAATTACCTTATTAACAATGGTCGGAATAGGGTGTTCCAAGTAATAAATAGTACAACCCTTTATTCAGTAGATAAATGTCTACTTAAAGATGCAAGGGCATGGAGTGGTTAAAACCACCAAATATTAATGAATTGCTTTTTTAATGTTTTTCCTACAATGCAGTAAAACTATTTCCAGAAATCTGAAATCTGAAATCCGAAAAAACAAATTAATTATTATTTGGAGGTTTTAACCACTCTTTGTCACTCCTCGTGTCTATAATTGTTATTTAGACATTTAGCTACTCTTCGGAACACCCTATACCAAAAATTGCTAATTAATTATTGGAAGCTGTAATCTTCAATTTTGTCTGCAAGATGTTTTTGGCAATGATTGTTAGAATACAATACAGATGGATACAGATCCAAGATCTTCAATTTGCATTATAAATATGTGATAGTCAAAATCGCATGTTACCAAATTGTATCAATTGTGTAGTAGTAGAATAGGATTGTTTATTTCATACTATTAATAGTACAATTCAGTCAAGGTAAATATGATGTAATATGAATATTACCATCACTAATGTAAAGAAACAGAAAATATAAAACAAAATAGTACAACTAAAAAAACACATTATTGCAAAAACATATGACACCCAAGAATAACAAAATTTAAATATCTTCCAAAGACAGCTTTTTTTTTAAATTCATTATCCAGTAATAAGAGTTCCCGTTGGGTGGGTATTAAATATTTTTACATTATATAGAATATTTAAAAAAATTGTAATATTTTATTTTTTATAAATGAAATGTTGACCTCGTATACTATTAAACATGCCAAATTCGCCACAGGATGTAATTGTAAGAGATAAGATAAAAGTGTTATTCCAAATCCTGGATCCTGTTGTATTATACCTAATTTGGTATGTATTTAAAAGAGCATCCCTTAGTTTGTTCTGCTTAGGAGAATCTGTTTGTTTAAATTGAACAGTAAAACATAGTTGTGAACTCTCATGCTGTTACTACTGTTTTTATGTTGGATTGCTTATTTGGTGCCTGTACTGCAATTCATCACTTATTTATATATTTAGGAATAAGTTAGTCAATCCTTTAAAACAACAATATTTATTTTTTATTTCATTAAAAACTGGCAACCCACGAAACATCAGTTCATAAGCACACAGTACTAAAAAAAAATCAAACAATTATTATTTTAAAGTCACTAATTATATGTATGATTTAAAATGAATTAATTTCCAGGTATCAAACTTTGTGGGTTTCATCTGCATAAAAATCCAATGGTCAGCATGGATATCATCAATCTTCTACAACATTCTCTACTGGATGGGCATAATTGTCGCATGCCTACTACTGCTCTTGTACACATTCCATTTTGTAGAAAAGTTTTATAAGATACCCTGGCACAAAATGGAGTTTTTCTACTGCATGTTTGTGGCTATCACATATATCATACTGTCTATAATGGCTACTACGATCGGGGAAAGCACTGGGATTGCAGTTTCGGTGAGTTTACAAAAAAAATGTTCAAAAAAATATCCAGAACGCATCTTTTTTGGGATTCCTAACAAAATTTTACGTTACAACAAAGTTCCTTCATTAATATAGTTTAGTTGACATATATTAGTTTCAGCATTAAATTGCATGTCTGGCTGTGTTTCACAGCTTTTTTACTCCCTTATTTATCCACCATCTATATCAATTATTATATATTTTTTGTTTTTGTGATACCAAGTGACGGGACGAACAAGTCGTACGCCTGATGGTAAGCGACACGCCTGTCCATAACAGTTGCAATGCCACTCGAAGCTGTAAATCGCAAAGATCTGAGGGGCACTGCCACTGTGCCCGTCACCCTGAGACATATTATATTGACAAGTCCCATGTGCCGTGATTCCACCAAATTCTTTGGGAAAGCATCAAAATAATTTCACACACCTGTAATTCCATCATGTTTCTTATCCATGTTCTTTAACCATACCAGTCTTGAGATTAGTAATTTTAAAGAAAATCAGTACAGAGTACTAAAAAAACCGACCTCAAAAGTAATTTATCCCCTAATTAGCCACCCTTAGGTGGAATAGTTTCTTCAAATTTAAGTGGGACCACTATTGAAGTACCCTCTTTCCAATAAAAAAAGGAGTCATCAAAATCGGTTCACATAAGTTATTACCTAACTTTCATAAAAAAAAACATACAGTCGAATTGAAAACATCCGCCTGGTTTTAAATCGATTAAAATTATACCAAACTGTAGCAAAGACTTATTATTTAATAGGTAGCTATTTGCAACCTTTTACAAAGATTCTGACAAGCTAAAATAGCTCTTACCTCATATCAAATAAAGTTACCCAATTACTTAATAGCGACATGAACTTGCAAATCCTTAGAAGATTAAACCAGGTAAAAAATCCCCACAACCTAAACTATTAAATTTTTAATTTCAGTTCTTCGGATTTTGTGCAGTTATAGCATACGGATTCGACGGGTACCTGAATTACAGAGGTTGGCAAAAAGGCCTGCCAGCACAATAAGTGTTATATTTCTTATTTAATTTTTTAACTTTTGCATTTTATATCTTAAGCATGATAAAGGCGCCAATTCTGGTAAATATATCTGTATGAATACTTGTCATACTAAGTTAGTATATAAATGGGGAACATTGTTTGAAACTTTTCAGATTAATGGATGTTTTTAATAATGCGGATTTTGGTGTTAAGCTATTAAAGCTTTACGCTTGCTATGCAAGTACATAACCTATTGTTGGTAAACTTTATTGTAATTGATAAATGCACTAATATGTTATGCAACAATTAGCTACAAGAAACATAAATATTACTTGTAAAAAATATAAAGAATTGGCGCCAGATCACTCACCGAGTAGACATGTTAGGATAGGAATAAAAGTTTTTTATTTATAATTCGTAAAGAAAGTGTAACCTATATTACGCTCTATCGATTTTATGTATTCGCTTATAGCCTTTCAGATCTCTATGGTTTGGCTAGATATGAGAAAATGTGCCTGTTTAAAATGATAACTGCCGCCTAGACTTGAAAGTTTGCCTGACTTTCAGCGTGCCAATGCCAATTTCATTCTTAGGGTCGTATTCCAGATCTTTACTCAATGCTCAAGTCAGGATTTGAGCAGACTTGAGTATGATTTCAGTGAGCACTGAAAATCATACTCAAGTCCTTGCCATTAGGGTCGTATTTACAGTGCTTGAAATCATACTCAAGTCCTGACTTGAGAATTGAGTAGAGTTCTGGAATACGATATTACTCATTCATAAGGCAGGTTCCCCCGCGAAAAACGTGTAAGAAACTCTTATTCTTTGGAAATAAATATTTGTTCACATTAATTTGTCATTTACGAGTACCTGATAGAGCTATTCGGAACACCATGGAGTTTTGCTATATGGTACTTTTAAACCTCGTAAATGGCAAATTAATAGTTTAATGTTTGCAGAAATCATAATGAGCTCTTTTTACGCCAGTGTAAGAAAGTATTTTTTTTATTATTTAATAGACACTCAGGAACTCAAAATTTAAAATATAGCGGGATTCACATTAAATAAGATTTGACATTTCTCCCTGAACGTCAAACTGTCTTTAAAGAGAGACATGAAAGTTTACTAATGTTGAGAATATTATTATGTCGTTAAATAAATACAGGTATTAAAATTTCTAGAGACATAGATATTAATTCAACTGTAAATTGTAACAGAAGCCGAATTCAATGTAATGAATTTTTATATGACGTTAACGTTGACGTTTTATTATAGCGTTTTCTGGTATAGACTAAGGGGGTCACCACACTTATCAACACGGACTCGCATTAATTAAGCCGGTAAAAAAAATTACGTAATAAGAGCGAAAAAGAAGTGAGTTAAATCGTCTCATAAGTGGACAACGACTCTGAAATACAGTGTCGAAGTCACATCGGCCGAGTCGACGCCCATACGGACGCGCCGATGCCCGAACAGTCCCGTCGATGCATGAACAACCGCTAGACACCCGACCGGCTGCGTTGACGCCGGAACGGCTGCGTTGACGCCGGAACGGCTGCGTTGACGCCGGAACGGCCGCGTCGATGGCGCATTGGTTTACTACGATAAGTGTGACATGTTTAACATGTTCGCCCCAAGCATACGTGTGATAACTCTCTTAACATAATCTATAAAAAATATTTACACGTAAACTTGAATTTTGTATTTAGATGTATTTATACAATTTTATAAATTATATTTTATTATTAATATGTATATATATTTGTAATTGATTACCTAATCATTAAACTATATAATGTGCCTTGATAAGAAATAAACGAGATGTATAACTTCACGCAATGTGGTGTATGTAGGTATTGTAAGTGTTGTTTGTGATGTTTCTAGTAAAAACTTTTTGGTATTTATGACTCAACATTATGGTGATAGAAAAAACTTGTGAACTTGGTGTTGGGTTTTGCGCCCTTTCCTGCTCCATTGATACATGTAACAATTTTGTTTGTGATTTCCTTTTAAACTTATGGAGATTGTATAAGGATAATAATTATGTTATATTGTTTAGTTTTGTCATATCGCTAATAAACTATAGGTTGTAAATATGAGACGGAAGCGATATTAAGACTCGTATTAATCAACGGCAACCTACATCGGTACTGAATGTCATTCCAGGGATGTTTATTAATAATCTCAGTGCAGAGTACTAATAAAACCGACCTCAAAAGTTCGTGGAATCACATCTATTTGCCATGTTTTATTGAAATCGGTTACCGGAAAGTGCGCGAAAGAGGATTCGTCCCTAGTTTGCGACCGTAAGAGTTGAAATACTTTCTTCAAATGTAAATGGGACCACACTGAGGTACGCTCTTTCTAACAAAAGAGAAAGATCAGATTCGATTCACAGGTGTGAGTTATCGCGTAACATACATACAAAAATAAATACAGCCGAATTGAGAACCTGCTCTTTTTCGAAGTCGGTTCACAAAGAATGTTGGCTTATGTAAGCTGCTGCACAAGATAAATTGATTAATATGGGCCTTACAATTAAAGTAAAATTAATCGAAAATTATAAATATTTTATTTTTGTAGTGTTTTTTTTTATTATAAATAAATTTTTGAACGAAACTATGAATCGTAACGTGCTGTTACAGTATTTTGTGCGATGGCCGCATAACACGTTCCGTATTCAGCCAATATAACAGGTATTACATACGTACACGTGTGTAGCCTTGAGATTGTAAGAAGTTTTGAATTTTACTTATGGGTCCAAATAGCTTTGCATTTTTATATACCTGTGCTTATGAACTACATTGTACCGTATATTTAAGGTACAAAGTACTCGGCGGGCGTACAAAGTTTAAAAACTCGTGACTATGAAAATAAATTATTATTTATCTTTTATATTACGTTAAGTTGTACCTAAGCTTATGTTACTTATCGACATATTTCTACAGTGCACATAGCTCACACGCATGTTTTTTTTATTACGTGATGTCATAAAAGTCGCCAACGTTTAATTCTACTTGCAAATATTGTTAATTTAGATATACAAAAAAACTGCATTACATTCTTTCCCTGAACGTCATCAAGTTATGTGCCTAATGCGCTGGCCACAACACGAACGAAGTTAGCTTAGCTCACGTAGCCGGGGTATCTAGTAGCAGTCCTTGTGAAAGAATTCATCCAGGGAACTACTGCCATCTTACCTGTTTCTGCCGCCAAGCAGTACTGTGAGCATGTGAAATTACAGGCACATGGGACTTTTCAACTCGTGTGTCAGGGTGGCAGTGCGTCTCGGGTCTTTGAGGTTTAAAGCTCTGAGTGGCACTGCAACTGTTATGGACAGGCGTATCGCTTATCACCAGGCGCACGATTTATTCGTCCCATTACTTGGTATTATAAAAAAGATCTTTTCGTGCTTCGGTTCACACCGCGACCTTTTTTTGCTCGGAAAAATGCGTTACGCATACATCACGCGCTAGCTATGCATACATCACGCGCTAGCTATGCAAAATATCACCTATTCACCCCCGCACGCATCCACATTTACTAAGTATTTTCTAGGCTTCGCTTCGCATGCAACTACGCGAACTAAGTGAGGTCAATTCAAATTCAAATTCAAAATAATCTTTATTTCATAGGTAAGCATTATTACACTTGAAATCGTCACAATGGTTAAACTCTACCGCTCATTCGTAAGGCAGATTTCCCTGAGAAGAATGAGCAAGAAACTCTAGGGGTTGCTCTTTGTAAATAACATTTACAATTTTTTTTGTATTTGAAACATCAGAGATCGAGACCTCCATGAGCTAAACGGGTTACTACCACGGATTTTTGTCATCCAAGTACGCAGAAGTTGTATAATAAGCTTTAGTATACAGTTTTTGTTTCTCTATAGTTTTAAACCCCGTGAGAGGCAAATTTTGTATATCAACCGGAATCTTGTTATAGAAGCGTATACATTGCCCCTTAAATGATTGTTTGACTTTGTGAAGACGACTATCAAGAAAAGCTAGTTTATTTTTATTCCTCGTATTAATGTTATGTCTGTCACTATTTTTCATAAAGAAGTTACTATTCCTTTTAACATAAATTATATTTTCATAAATGTATTGTGAGGCTAGTGTAAGAATGTTAATTTCCTTAAACTTATCTCTCAAAGATACTTTGGGGCCCAGATTGTAAATTGCCCTAACTGCACGTTTCTGCAGGACAAAGATTCTATTTAGGTAGCTTCGTTCACGGTGTGACCTGCTCATTATAGCACTTCTTCAGCTAAATTTGTAAACCTCGTACCTCCATTAATGTGAACTTTTGAGTAGGCACGAAAGAGACTACAAATAATTTTATATTACGACATGCCCTGTCCATGTACCTACAAATTATATTTTAAGCTTTAACTTCCCGATATTGCGCTTGAAGATCAAAAAAGGGGTAGTGTCCAAAACGGAGTTATAAAGTTTTTAAATTTAGCAGATTTGTAAGCTGTAATGCATTATTGCACAAATGTGTTGCGACTAATTGTTACACATGAATGTGAGCTTGCCTAAACATACATACAATGATTTTTTTAATTTACGTACATGTTTGTGACTTTGAAAGTAAGTTGTGAACCAATTATTTTATAAGTTGAATTTTTTATTAGTCATTTACTTAATTTATAGTTATCTGTGTATAATTACAACTCTTTTTCTTATACCTAACAGTCACATTAAAAAAGGGTAATGAAAATAATAAACAATAAAAGACACGTATAAAGCTTTTTATTTAACTCATTAGAATACAAAAATTGGATAAACAACAATTTTTAGTAAGTTTTACAAAAAATGATAGTAAATTCTGTGCCTTATGCATAAAAAACAACTTATTTTGTGAATTGATATTATCTTTATTACATTGATTATACATACACAATGTGCTCTTAATATAATATAATGTGTATTTCATATACACTGCATTAGCTGACTTCCTTTTAAAGAAAGGTAAGTATGTTCTGCGAAATATAGTCCGCTCTGTTCCAATCGTGGATCAGTAATTCGAAAAAACTGACTAATCTCCATACTACAGGTAGTAACTATGAAGATCTAGATGGCGCTGATCAATTGCCTGGAAGTAGTTTATATTATGCAAATGGCCACAGATATCATTTAATTTCTTTTAAATTTGAAATACAAGTAATATTTTATTTCCCTGTAATATTATTCAAATACTGACCATGACCGACCTAAAATTATGTTGTGATCTTTGACAAATATGCTTATCGATAGATGGCATTGTGTAATAAGCGCCACAATAATCTGTGAAATAAGCGCCATCTAGTGATTTGTTTGTCATTACTCGAAAGAGAAGTTTTGATAAATTACGGCTCGTCAATGTAAAACAAATAGGTTACAAAAATAGTTATTTAGTACCCGTCGCGACATCTGGTGTACCAATAGGTACTAAATGCCCGACTACGCTGCCTTGTATCGCGATTAGCAGTATCTGGAGTAATTGATCCACGGTTTGAATCCTTTGTAAAAAAGGTAAATAAACAGGTTATTGACCAGACTATAGAGTGTTTAGAGATGACCAATTAAATTATTCCACTTTGAATCAGTTACAATAAATTTTATTTTTGCAATTTTACTGCCGACTACTAACAAAAAATAGTTGGTCAATTGACTGCGACAACAAAATGACAAAATTTAATAACATATTGAAATATTTGCATAATGTTGACAGACAGGAGAGGAGCGACATGTCCTAATACAAAATATTTCGCTAATTTAAATACACACATACTGGGAATTATCTTGCTTCATTGGTCCACCTTAATCTACCTTTCGCACACTGTGAGCAATGATTTTTAGTGACGATAATTTTGGACGGAAATTACAATTTCATAGCGATTATAGTCGAAGCTTATTATTTTATTAATGTACCTTATACTGGCCCTACAAATGCTTTTTAAAGTTCATTTTCCTTCTGAAGGATCCATTAATAC